GGATATAGGTTCTAATCTAGGTTTAGTTTTAGGTTCAAAGGTAGCTTTGAAACTAACTCACTGTATGACCTTGGGCTAGATTTTAACTTCTCTGGATCTTTGTTTTTTTACCTGTAAATTGAACAGTTGGATTGTGCTCTGCCTGCTGCTACTCAGGAAGGGAGACCTTTATCCCCAGTGTGCATTTTCACGTTGACTGCTCACACAGCCCTCGGAGATAGGTTCTGCTGGAAGCCCCCATTTTTCACATGAGGACACTGAGGTTCAGCAAGGTTATATAAGCTACCACCACATAGCTAATAAGTGATTGTTCCAGCACCCCCACCCGGGTTTTCCCTACTCTGGCCTCTTTTCTTTCAACCACAAGGCCAATTTTCTCCTTTGAGGGGATGAGAAAGGGTTTAAGCTGGACCTTCAGAGATGGGTAAAGGCAGAGATAGAGTTACACTGTGAGTCTAACGCAATCCCCAGACTACATAGTAATTTATAGTGCAATTCCCTCCCCGAATCACAGAAAGCCTGTAATATGAGGTTATTTCTGTCCCCAGACACCGGCATTATTACGGAGATCAGCTGAGCATGAAGTTGGTTTGTTGCTTGCTCATTAGCCTTCTCTTTTTTAGGCATTTCTTGTTTTCTTTCTTTCATTCTTTGGTCATTTTTAAATTGCCTTTTTCTAAGTTCTCCTTAATTTCTCAAATAAAGCGCATTCTATTATTTCTGTATGCATACAGAAAGACTGTTTTCTCTCAACTTCTTACAAATCATTAACCTGTAAATAATCACTAGTATGATATCATCATGTTTAGACTTTTTAAAAGAATTGGGGGGGTAATTAGGGTATTTACTTATTTTATGTGGAGGGACTAGGGATTGAACCCAGGACCTCGTGCATGCTAAGCATGTGCTCTACCACTGAGCTATACCCTCTCCACCCTAGACTTGTAGTAAAAGGATGACTGTCTTTCTTTTGTTTCTACTCCACTAACAGATCTTTCTTTTTAAATTCAAACTTTTTATTTAACTTATATCTGCTTTTTTTTTTACAATTAAATCAACAATTTTATCATTTCTTATTCATGGGTCACTGAAAAAACTCACCAATGATTATAAACTAGGACAAACTATATGACACAAGAACCAAAAAAACTTAATAAAAAACATATCCAAGTATGAAAAGTATTGTACTCTCACTGTCTTCATATCCTTCTTGTCTGTGTACTTACGTACAACACGTGGTTTCCTTGGATAAATGCACCCCTGCACGTATCCTTCAGTTGTCCATTTACCTCCTCTTCCATCTGCTCCATGGAGCTGCTACGTTCATGTAGCCATCCAGGCCAGCCAGGACCCCTCGATAATCCTCTTCAGAATTTAATTTGCTTTAAGAAGTCACTGAGCATTTGCTTCTGCAGACTCATTTTAACAATCCTGAACAGAAAGAGATCTTTTTTTTAATTCAACAAACTTTTAATTTAAGTCACATCTGCTTAGTTTTTTTTACTGAGTTAAATATAAAGGCTCAGTTAATCAACTCATTAAATTGGTCAAGGCAGGACACTCGAGCTACATAACAGGATTTAAAAAGCAACTGGCCTTTTAGTGGTTCTCTGGTATCACACATACACACATATTGGTAGAGTACTCTGGATATAGGATTCAGCCCCCTGTAATTTTATATGATGTGCTGTTCACAATCTGCAGTATTTTGAAAACTATGTGTATAAATTGGACATGACCAGTCAGAGATGCCTGATAAACTCTTATGAAGTATTCGGGAACTTCAGCTATAGTCCCCAGAAGATCAATTTTAAACTATAAGAAAGAAAAGTTCATATAAAATCACAACAGATTTAACAGACATCTTTGGGAAAAAATCAAATTGTAACTCAATTTTCTACTTTTTCAAATAACAGTTCAGAACTCTTCTGTCTGTGACTTTTCCTCTCTAATCACAGCTGTCTGCCTTCCGTCCTCGTGTGGTCTGCTGGAATCTGTCTAGCAATGGAAAAGCCTACGATAGTAATTGTGAGCTACTTAGTGCTCACTTTATTTCGGGTACTAGTCAAGGTGTGTTATGTTTAGTCTTTACAACCACCCTAGAAGTTAGGAACTCTGCTTGTTCCCATTTTACAAATAAGAAAATTGACACAAGTAAGGAAATGGAGATGAAAGTAATCTGTCCGAAGTTTCAGAGTCATTAGTGGAGTCAAGTCAAACTCAAGAGTTTGACACCAAAACCTCAGCCCTTAACCTTGAGCCTATACGTTTGCCTTCCCCGAAGGGGAGAAGGGGGCCATCCGTGGGAGGACCACTTACCTCTCCTTCTTCTCCTTTTTTAGGCTGAGTTCATTTAGATGGGGTTTCTTTGAGCATCATAGGATGATTAATTATTTAGGTTAGGAGAAAGTGAGCACCAAGGAAAGGAAATTTAAGAAAGGGAACATTTTGGATATGCATTTACATCTCATATACACCTCTCCCAAATGGGGATTTGCTTCCTGACCAATTTTCCTAGTGAAAGAGGTTATTCACAGCTGGGAAAAGCAGGCCCCTCCGCTGGCAGGATTGGACCGCCAGGGCTGTCGAAGTTAGTAGTGGGAGTCCGAGAAATTAACAGCTTACTGTCATTTCTAACATATATTAATAATTGACAGAACAAAAATTCATCCTTATGTTTCAAATATCAAGAAGGTCTTCTGAAAATGACTTCCTCCAGCTCCTCACCTCTGCTGTGTCTTATTGTCATGATAAAATCCTGTCTCACTTTTTCTCTTCCCCTGCTAATAGCAAGGCTTTGAATTATTAAAGGAGGGGAATGTTAGGGCTTCTGCTTGGCTGTTTCTCTCCTCTCTGCTTTGAAAGTTGATTGACTCTGGGCTCTCCCCTCTCTCTGCCTTGGAAAGATTGACTTTCTGTGAGAGTCACGTCCCAGCCGTGCCTCGAGTCTGCAAACACGAAGGGCAGAGTTTAGACTCCTGAGCGAAGCAGAGGAATGTTTGAGTGGCAGGGGCCGAGGGTTGTTGACTTTACCGAAAATATTTTCTGAAAATATCTCATATAATGTTATGTTTTGTAGCTCCCCCAGCTCTTCTCCGACCCCCCACTTTTAAATAAACGTGTAGAATTATGGTGTGTACAGAGGAAGTGAGAAAATGAAGCCCAGTCTTCCTATCTCCGCGGGCATCTGTGCGGCTGTGACAGGGTGAATGGGCTCTTTGGGAATTCGCAGGGGAATCTTCTAGAGCCAAATTCCTTAACCGGGCAAACTTCCATCAGCTGTGTAAATAGTGTGGCAGTGTGCGGAGGCCGCTGGCAGTCTCCTGATAGTCCGCTCCTGTGCCCAGGTAGTTAAAAGGATTCATGTTCCATCCTGAGCTTGCAGGATGTGAGTTGAGGCTTGGATTCCCCAGTAAGGGGCGTGGGGTGTAGACATTTCCTCTCCACTCTATTTACTTCGAGGGAAGGCAAGTCTGATTATGATAGGTAAGGGCCGGTAGATAAAACCACACTGGAAAGAGGGCTTCTGGGTGTCTGAGTGAAGAAAAAGCCTGGACTGGAAACTGGGGACAGAATTGGGCGCTCGCCGATGGACCTTCATCCCAGTCCAAGAAATTCCTGGGACTCGGCGTGGGACGTTGTGCTCTGGGGTTACTTGGCTGTTCTTCGAAACGGGAACTTAAAGGCAATTCGTGTATCTAGTTTCTTTTCCCCGCAGCGGCTGAAGGAAGGCCGCCGCCCGAAGGCTTCCGCGCTCCGGGCAGAGCGGCCTGCGTGCGCCTGCGCGCCCGTCGCGGGGGGGGGGGGGGGGGGCTGCCTCAGGCTCCGCTCGTCGCGGGCAGAAACCTGGCCGCGTGCCCCGGCTCCTGGGCCTGAAGTTGTTTTAGTGTTCTTACGCTTATTCTGCGGGCTTCACCCCTGGCATGCAGTTTGTTTGTTTGTTGAGCTTAAACGAATGGGCACAGAGACAGCACAGCTAGGTACGGGCAGTTCTCTACCTACGTCTGTACATCGTGCGCTCGTGAAAGTGCGAACTAGTCCACAACACGCGAGTAATAGACTCACCTATTGTAAACAGCATCCTAGGGCCAACGAGCTAAAAATGCCATAAAATCCCTTAACGCATCTTGTTTTTAGAGCTAGCCTTCAGTTGTGTATTTCCAGCATTTTGTCTGTGCTCTTTAATTCTTCCCCCACCCCCCACCCCCGGACACATGGAGTTCTGGCTGACATCCAACCATCCTCAGGTTGAGACAAAGGTTTCTCTGCTTTTGGCTTGGCCACTGTTTTCCATCTTCATCATAATTGTTTCAAATTTATGAAATCGATCCTTATCAATAGTACCAGTATTTTTCCATTTTCAGTCCCATTTTTATACATGTCTGTGGATAAAACCTATTAAGACATTCAAATAATTACTTAAACAAGTACTCTTTTCTATTGAAATATAGTTGATTTACAATCTTGCATTAGTTTCAGGTGTACAGCATAGTGATTCAGGGGTTTTTTGCAGATTATATTTCATTATAGGTTATTACAAGCTGTCGGGTATTGTTCCCTGTGCTAAACAATAAACAATAATCCTTGTTGCTTATCTATTTTATGTATGGTATAAACAAGTACGCTTTTTTTATTGAAGTATATAGTCAGTTACAATGTGTCCATTTCTGGTGTACAGCATAATGTTTCAGTCATACATATATATATTCATTTTCATATTATTTTTCATTATAGGTTACTACAAGATACTGAACATAGTTCCCTGTGCTTTATAGAAGAAATTTGTTTTTCTTTATCTATTTTATATATAATAATGAGTATTTGAAAATCTCAAACTCCCAATTTATCCCTTCGCTCCCCCTTTTCCCCAGGTAACCGTAAGTTTTAAACAAGTACTCTTATACAAAGATGGCACCATACTGTCCAAACCGAACAGCTTTACCCACCGTGATTCAGTTTCCCCATGACCAATTTAAGTGCCATGTTTCTTCTTTCTTTAGTGTTCTCTGGACTTGCCTAAACCATTCCAGGAATTACCAGATACCTGATTGCATGCAGCTGTGGGTATGTTATTTTTGAAGTGATCAACTTTCTGATATCGGTCAATGGTCCAGAACCACAGGAATTGATGGAAGATAGTTTTAGAGGCAGTGGCTGGTTTCCTATCTGCACTGTGAACACAACTGCCTCACACTGGTCCCAGAGAAGCTTGTCCCTCAGGTGGATCTCAGAGTATCTTTTGTATGTTGTAGTTGTTTTCTTCAAAACAATAGAATGTTTGAACTGTTGTTTTTGGCTATTTTTTAATGCTTTTTATATTGTTTTTATTGAGTTATAGTCAGTTTGCAATGTTGTGTCAATTTCTGGTGTACAGCACAATTTTCAATCATACATGAATATACATATATCCATTTTCATATTCTTTTTCACCATGAGCTATTACAAGATCTTGAATATATTTCTCTGTGCTATACAGTATAAACTTAAGGTTCAAATGTGTTAGACATGTGTATAGATGGTTGTAATTAAGAATTTAATTAAGAGTAATTCCAGAGAGAAGGAGGGAAATGGAAACCAATGGGAGGTCTAGATTATTCTCTCTGTCTTCTGTTACCACATTTACTGCTTCCTGGTGAAGTTAATCTGGTGATATATTATACTGAATTTTGTCTACATCTTACTATCACATAAAAATAGATCTGAGTAGCAATGTGGTAGAATCAGTAACAGCATAATTTTGAAAGAAGAAAGTTTGGATCCACTACTTTCTAGCTGTATGATCTTGGGTGAGTTATTTAACTTTGTTGAGCCTCCGTATGAGCCTCATAAATAAAATGGAAATAATTATGCCCATCTGTCAAGGTCATTATAAAGATGAAACATATATTTTTATAAATTTTTGTGATTTCACTCAGTGTGAGTCACCCAACATAAGTTTCCTTGAAAGATTTCCTTGGTGTGATCTGAACACCTACGTTTCCCCATTTCACCTTTAATAATTACTGGCCAAATAACAATGCTAACCCTAGCGGAGTGGGAAGGGAGGATTGCCAGAGGGCATGTGTATGCAGTGTATTTTGGGGTTAGGCAAGGTGGGCCTGAGCAGAGGTGCCATCATAAATCAATACGTTGGCTAAGCGTGTGGATAGACAGAGAGCTGTTTCCTTAAAAAGACAGGAAAGCTATTGATCTAACCTTCAGATCCTCACGTCTTATCTCTATTTATCTGAATTGATGATGTTGACAGATTTTTCAGAAATTGAGATATGAGGTGACACAAACCACCTGTTTTCTTGTGGCAGAATTCCAAGCCAGAAAGCTGGAAATAGGAGGTTTGAGAGGGTAGAGAATTCTGATTTCCTCAGAATCTAGACAGTAATGGGCTGAGGAAACACTTTAAACACTTTTATACCACACAGACTTTTGTGTGTCCAGTCTGTAAGCCTTTAGGATTGGTTTCTTTTCTCTCGAAACTCTTTTCCCTCCAGAAGCTCTTGGTGTTTTTCAAAGGCACACGATGGCAGTTTGTAGACTTTTCCATGAATGGTCTCATTTTAAAGCACTAGTTTCTCGCATGAGCTCCCTTGTAGAATTATGAACAAGGTTCAGGTCCTGGTGTAAGAAGATCTGGATTCAAACCCAGCCTCTGCCATTTATTAACTATATGAACTTGGGTAAAAGGATTCTTGAATGATTCTCTGTTGATTCATTCATAAAATATGTATATATGTATTTTAATTTTGTATTGAAGTATATTTGATTAATAATGTATTAGTTTCAGGTGTATAGCAAAGTGATTCAGCTGCATATATATGTGTATTTTTTCATATTCTTTTCCATTATACACTACTATAAGATTGAATATAGTTCCCTGTGCTATACAGTAGGGCCTTATTATTTATCTACTTTATATATAGTAGTGTGTATATGTTAATCCCAAACTCCTAATTTATCCTCCCCACTCCTTTCCCCTTTGGTAACCATAGTTTGTTTTCTATGTCTGTGAGTCTATTTCTGGTTTGCAAATAAGTTTATTTGTATCATTTTTTTTAGATTCCATATTAATACCTACATCAAAGAGTTGTTTTGAGAACTAAATAAGAGAATGTTTTAAATTTTTTGAAAGCTCTATCACTGCGATGAAGAGTTTTAGTAGTATACTAGATCATCACAAGATTCTGCTATATCCTATAAAGCAAAAAGAGCAAGCAGAACTTTTTACAGCATCATTTACTAATGTCTGTGACTCATAATGAGGAATACAAAAAAAAATGCCTGTGAAATACTTTCCTTTTTAAATGTAACACTTTCTTATGAAATACCAGGGCAAGGGCCAAGGCCAAGAAATATTTAGGTTTCCCACAACAACCTCCCCTCCAGGAAATGGCAAGAACAAGATGATAAAAAAAAGTTCCATGTTAGCACACAGGGCATTTCTTCTGTTTGTTGCTTAGAAGGATTTTATATTTTTAAAAGGAAGGTCGGTTTAGCCTATGTTCTAAAGAGTTCCCTTCAAAAGGAGTTTTATTCCTGGAGAAATAAAAAGGGCAGCACTTTAAAAAGTGCAGCTGTGAAGGCCCGTCAAGTTGTGACTTGATCGTGGCAAGAGAAGGAACTTTTCTTGAAGTATTACACCTTGATTCTTGGCTGAGTAGTGGCGACATGCTTGGGGACCATCCATCTTCATTTGGTCAGGATGAGTGATAGAGGGAGATCACTAAATGTTTTCTGATTAGTCATCCAATTGATAAATATGTCTAAGAGCTTATTATGTGCACAGGGTTGCTAGGCCTTAGTGGGGGTGCAGGAGGGAGACACTGGCGGGTAGTTGTGCAGGGATGTTTGAGGTACAGTCTGGGTCTCAGAGAAACTTGTAGTCTAGTGGAGAGAGAGTATACATAACCTGATCACAAGGTACAAAGCGTAGTTGCATATCAGAGTGCAAAATGGAATTCAGGAGGAATGAAAGGTCATTTTCATTCGAGGAATCAGTAAAGAGTTAACGAGGGAGGGTGTGTTAGAGCCGAGTGTTGCAGCCTCGCTGTCTTTGGGCGTGTGGAAGAAGGGGAACGAATATTCCTGGTGGAGGAGAAATCAAGGCCAAGACACAGGAATGGGCAAGTGTGAGGAACATCAAGAGAAGAGAGGGAAATAAGCCTAAAAAATGGGAACCCTCGACCAAAGGAAGAAGGGACACTGACTGCTTAAAATGGGATGATATTTTATTACCTTGTTTCTAAGATTCACATTTTGTTCCCCATTTTAATGTTTTTGAAATCAAGAAAAATTAGTCAGTCATTATGTATATTTAGTGTAATTTTTCTTTATTGCCTAAAAAGAGATTGTTGAATCAATGGTATAGCCACAATTGATGGAACTATTTTAATATTTTATCATTGTAATGATCTATTTCATATACAAACGTCTACTTTATAAACTTCTTGGAGAAATAAGTAGAATGATACCTGTGTAGCTCAGGTCACACAGTGTACTCAATAAACTTACTATTTTTTAAAAATAGAGTTGAACTAAGTTTGATAGGCAATGGAGATGTACAGAAGGATTTCAAAAAGGAGAGGGATGATCAGCCAAACTGTGACATCAAAATCACTTGCCAATAATTTTAAGAATCAGTTCAGGGATGGAACCCGCCTGGTACACTATTATAATAGTCAAGGCAAGAGTAAGCGAAAGGTTAATCTAGCGAGAGTGAATGTGACCTGAGCCTTGTCTTACAGATATGATTCACAGGACTTGCTAAGTGATGGGGTGCAGCAAAAAGGGAAGTAGAAGTAAGTCAGAAAGAGAAAGAAAAGTACCGTATACTACTCGTACGTGGAATCTAATAAAAAAGAAAAAAGAAGATACTAATGAACTTATTTACAAAACAGAAACAGACTCACAGTCATAGAAAACAAACTTACAGTTACCCGGGGGAACGGGGTAAGAAGAGATGAACTGAGAGTTTGAGATTTGCAAATATTGACTGCTATGTATAAAATAAATAACAAGTTTCTTCTGTATAGCACAGGGAACTACATTCAATGTCTTGTAGTAACCTATAATGAAAAAGAATATGAAAAGGAATGTATGTATATGTATGGCATACATTATGCTGAACACCAGAAACTGACACATTGTAAACTGACTATATTTCAATTAAAAAAATAATACAAAGAAAAGAGAAGTAGAAATGATGGAGAGGATTGTACTATTTACAGAAATAGAAGATACAGGATGTGATATTGTGATTTATAAGAAAAATGTATATTTGGTCATTCAGATGATAAAAATATAGTTCTCATATATATTTGATCTTCATCCATGGTTCCTGACTCACAGCTCCCAAAACCTTTAGAATTTCCTAACAATTGAGAGTGGCAAATTGTCTCATGTTATGATAATGAGGTGACTTCTGGGCCTCACCTAAGGTTGGGGGCTGATTGCCAGAGGAGCCAACCATGTGATTGGAGGTTTGGAACTTTCAGTCCCACCCCCCACCTCCAGAGAGAGAAGAGGGCCCGGCGGTTGAATCAATGACCAACAGCCAAATGATGTAATCAATCGTGACTATGTAATGTAATGATGCCGCCATAAAAACCCAAGAGGGCAGGGTCCAGAGAGCTTCCAGGCTGGTGAACACATGGAGCTTAGGGAGAGTGGTGGACTAGGAGAGCGCATGGAAGCTTCGAGCCCTTTCCCCGTACCTTGCCCGATGCAGCTCTTCTATCTGACTATTCCTGAGTTATGTTCTTTTATAATTAATTGGTAACCTAGTAAGTAAAATACTTCCCTGAGTTCTGTTAGCCACTCTAGCAAATTAATTGAACTCAAAGAGGAGGTCATAGGAAGCTCTGATTTGCTGCCAGTTGGTGAGAACTACAGGTAACACCCTGTATGGCTTGCAACTAATGTCTGAAGTCCAAAGAGGGGTCATGGGACCCTCTAATCTATAGCCTGGACTTGTGACTGGAGCCTGAAGTTGGGGAGGGGGGGAGGTGATGGTGGGTGACAGTCTTACAGGACTGAACGCTTAACCTGTGGAATCTGACATTTAGAGTCAT